TACGAAAAACAAGTTATATGATTAACAATCGAGAGATAAAATTAAGAATAAATAATAAAATGAAGACAATAGTCTATGATCATCAATCAAAATTGGCTCGCGGCGGAAAGATGTCGATGTCAGCTATACCATATAAATTGACAACTGTTGAAGTAGTTAAAGGCGATTATCTTGCTGCTTATGATCATTTAGTTAAGAGTGATAAACGACCACTTCTTCTGAACATGGCTAGTGCAACAACACCAGGTAGTGGATATCGAACAGGCCATGAAGGTCATGAAGAAAATCTATTTCGACGATCAGATTACTTTCGAAGTCTTGATATAGAAGTGGATGAATACCAGGAACAACAGTCCGACCGATTTTATTGTACGTCCGATTATCAATTGAATCCTATAGACAATCAAAAACGCATCTATCCTATGGATGAATTTGGTGCTATTTATACATCAGGTGTAACTATTTTTCGTCAACTAGAAGATAATGGCTATGCTTATATGGAAAAACCATTAGAAAATGTTTGTATATTAGCAATGGCTGCCTATGAAGATCCTCAATTACAAGACAATATGTTAGCAAAGAAATATGCAGTTGGAATGAGAAAAAAAATTGAAAATATATTTGCTATTGCTTATCATAATAAACATGATTCTCTTGTATTATCTACTTTTGGTTGTGGTACTGACAGAAATCTAGCGGATCGTATTGTTAAATTATTTTCTTCTGTTATTGAACAATATGCAGGTTTTTTTAAAACGATTATATTTGTCATTCCTGATGATTATAGTATAGATCATAATTCAAATTTAAAAGAAAATTTTCGAATATTTCAAGCAATTGACGGAACAGTAGAATCTATCAAGCCAATTAATAAACCAAATGTCATATTTGGCCCTTATCGAATATTATCCGAAGATGGAACAGTCAGTGACATTTGCATATGTGATAAACATCCATGCCAATTCGGAGCTACATGTAGTGGAATTAATAATAAAGATCATATACAGGAATTTTCACATCCACCTTTATGTATGAAAGCTTGTGTTACTGGTAAATGTGATCTAACAACGAATCCTGTTCATATGTATTTTTCTATTCATCAAAAACAATGTCCGGATGGTGGTGAATGTCAACAGATCAATAATGAAAAACATCGTCAAGAATTTGAACATCCATCATATTGTCCATCGGGAGGTACTTGTGAAAACATGAGTGAAAAGCATCTTAAAGATTATCGTCATTTACCTTTATGTAAGGATTCACATAAATGTAATGATTTTCGAAGGAAGATTAAACCGCATTGTAATGCTTATCGTCATTGTGCACTTCATTGTCAATACAAATACTATTGTGCTGATTTTCATGATAGAAAACATATGCGCGAACTTCAACATCCATTTGCTCCACCTTGTCCATTTACTCCTTATCATTGTCAATTCTATATTGAACTAACTCAATCATCAGAAACTCAAAGACCTTCTCAAACTGCTGAACAACATTGTCTTGATTATTCACATGTGTGTCGTTTTGGTCGTAATTGTGTGGATACAAATGCTGTACATATGGAAAAATCCATTCATGTAGCACGTTGTATTTGCTCACATGGTGACACATGTTTAAAACTTAATCAAGAAGAACATTTAAATTCATATACGCATCCGAACATTCTCGATATTCGACGTCTCTGTAAACATTCTGATAAATGTCATGATCGTCAACGACCCGAACATATTATCAAATTTCGTCATGATGTTCATCTCGATGATACTGGCGTTGTTGGACATTTTCATTTAAATAAAGATACTGATTTTGTGCGTAATCAAGCAGAGAGTATTGCACGTGTTAAGACCTTTATTGAAAACCAAAAATGGGAATCATTACCACCAGATACTATCCCGCGTGAAATTCTCGATTGGGTTCGTACCGTTCAACCTGTCCATCGGTGTAATCCGGTTATATTCGAATCAATTATTCTTCATGGACATGTTATGAGTCGATCCTATATGGACAATTTAAAAAAACCTTACTTTGTAGCCAAATCTGTTTTACAACATAGTCGCATACGACTTATCAATGATTTACATATTCCAACAATAAAACAACAAGCTGTAGAATATATAACGGCTTTGGTCAAAGATGAATTTGAGAAAAGTGGAGTTCCAAAGCTCGGTCAGACAACAACTCCTACCACAGGTACGACCAATCGAACGTTTCTTCTAACTACTTCGTCATCTCTTGGGGATGAAATTAAGAAAAAAGAAAATTTTATCTCAGCTTCAATTCCTGCGAAAGACATGGATGCTCTACGAAGAACAGCAATTGAAATTGCACAAGCTTCTATTAAACTTTATTCGAATCCAGCTGGTATTGGTTATGAAGTAGATACTAAATTGGGAACAGATAAAACTATTTTTAGTGTCCTCGGACCGCATCTGGGGCATTACTATGGAGATGTAGTTATAATTTTCAAACGTGAAATTTTACATCATCCCGATGCAAATTTCTCTATTCAAGCAGCGACTTCATTTGCTAGTGGAAAAGCTTATAGTTGGCGTCCATGGTTAGGTACTGATCCTGCTTCTGAGGATGAAAGAATCAAATTATTTCATCATTCGAAATTGCATGCATCTGTTCCGGGTTATGATATTGTAGCTGCTTTAGAATTAATGGCAATTACAAGTAGTGTTTTAAATAAGAAATCGATGAATATCGATCTCAACACAATCATTGAACGTTGGACTAAAGTGGATTCACATCAAACTATTGAAGCTCATTTACCTCAACTTATTCCACTTGATTATATTGAACATATTTATATGCCAAAGAATATATATGAAAACTTTAATCAAGCAACACTTAAATCAATCAATGCGGTTTTTCGAAATCGTATGACGATCACTGAACATGAAGGTGAAACCGATCAAGCCAAATGGGAATTCGGTCCAACACCTCCAACAGAACTACGAGCTGAATATCAAGATTTTGTTGTCAAAGAATTGATCAAACGATTCTGCAATCGTACCGAAAATTCTCTATCAAGACCTATTAAAGGTGCTGCAATAACTATATCACCAAGTGATTTTCGAGATCATTGCGTTTTGCCTTTGACAATTTCTCAGGCTTATAAACAATATTGCATTGATTATGTACCATCGTCAACAGACGACACTATATATATCTATTGGCAAGTGTTGAAAGGTGATATGATGTTGACATTATCAAACGAACGCATCGATTTGAGTCAAGGACAATCAAATCTTAGCTGTTTAGTTTGTTACGTTGCTCAAACTCCAGAACCAAGTAGTTCTCACTATCATGAGCAAGCGTCATATTTAAATAAAGGTACACCATTTCAACATGACAAGATCATACAAAAACATACATATGCTGCTAGTTCAGATACATTTTATATTGGATGCAATACGGGTGATTTTCTTACTTTTTGTCTTGAAATTCAACGTTCAACTGGAAAAGTGACTCTGTCACATGCTGGTTCGAATTTAATTTATAATCGAGAAATAATTACTCATACATTCGATAAATCAGAACTTGATTTAAGTAAATTAGAATTTGTTCATGTTAGTGCTGGTAAACGTATAGCACCAATTCGAAATTTGATGATTTGGTTTGATAAACAACCTGATCTACATCCAACACCTGATAAACAATTTAAGATAGATTCTAGTCCGGCCGATGTTGGTGATCAAGATTCACCTCTAATTCCGTGTCCTGATAACGTCAACTGCCTTCTTCAATTATCAGCCAATGAAACAACTCATAATTCCAAATATTCACATCCATGTCGTTTCTCTGAACTCTGTCGAAATCATGAGCCATATTTAACACATGAACCTCATCAAGTACCTAGTTGTCAATATGATGATAAGTGTGACAAACTAGTTGATCCAATTCATCGAGCATCTTATCGTCATACAGGCTGGCCTGACTTTCTGATACCATGTCGGTTTAAACAGGAATGCCACGATAGATCAGACAAACATCGTATCAGATATTCACATGGTGAACTCGTTTACAATATATCAGACAGTAAATTGAAAAGTATTGTAAACATATATACAGATGAATTTTTCTTTGATAGACTCAACAATTCCTTGTAAATGGGGTTTAACCTGCCGGGAACTTGGAAATCAACAACATTGTGAGAAATATTCTCATTCTTCTAAACCACAACATCATCATGAGCAGATTCCTTGTAAATGGGGTTCGGCCTGTTGGGAAATCGGAAACCAACAACATTGTGAAAAATATTCTCATTCTTCTAAATCAGAACATCATCATGCACAGATTCCTTGTAAATGGGGCTCGCAATGTAGAACGATGAATGATCCAAATCATGTAAAAAGATATTCTCATCCTGAAGCGGATACGACGAGTTCATGAAAACTTTGATCTAAGAATCGATTCGAATTATAGACATCAGAATCTTTTTTTAATAATATATTGAATGTCATGCTAATTTTCAAATAAAAGAATATTTAGAAAAACATAATCTAAATCGATCTGTACGTGTTCATGTACTTTCTGCTATGTCATAATCAATGATGAGAATGTAAAAGTATATATTGGGAATATTGAATATCATTATTCAAAGAAAATGTATTATTTGGCACATTATAACATTATCAAGTAGATTACTAAAAGAAAAATTTTGAAAAATAGAGAAGTTTGGATATTCTTCTACCTGGAGGAGGAGAAGAAGATAGTATAATAATAATCATTTCATGTGTTACTTACTTATTTCTTTCCACTTCATATCAGACTTAGGAAATAATGATGATGAAGCTGACAGAAATCTTTTAACTTGTATCCATCGTTTTGAAACGGTTAATAAGTTATAAATCCATTCAAAAAACGTAATGTCGTTATATTTCTTGAACTACACATTACGACAAATAATTTTCTGCAAAATATGGCAAATGAATGCTTTCAAATCAGAGTTGTCAAATCCAAGTTTTAGAAATTAGGAGAAAAATCAGGAAATCATTATTTATGATTTTGGTTTTTACTAAACGATCAATGAAAAGGTTTGCCTTAGTGAGCGAAACAAAAACAAACAGAAAGATAACTACACATAGTTCATTTTACTGATCTTTTCGAATCTGTTTATTCAAAAACATAAACAAAACAGAATAAAATAAACTGTTTCCTACTTCTTTTTTGATATTGTTATTTCACTTCAGATATTTTTTTATTCTAATTTTGAACTCAACATCCATTAGGATCATTTCTCATTATATTCTTATTATCATATCATCAAAATTTTGTGTGACAGAAACTTGACTCTTAATTAGTTCTTTAAACTCATTATTTACCAATCTATATCAGTTCTGGAACCGGATCGGTTGTAAAAAAAATCAGTCGACCTATAGAGATGAAAATTTCTAGTTGAGTTGGTAAAAAAGGAGACAAAACACAGGTTATTTAATTATTTATTGTGAGATTCACTTCAAAGATATGGTTTTTGTTGCATCTCTCATACATGCTCTTCGAAACCATGCTCTCGCACAAAAGTCTTTCTCTTCTTCGTTTCTTTCTTATCATATTTTGTATAAACTTTATTGCCGAGTAAAGATATGATTTGAGAATTTTATTTCAGTATGGTATGCAGATCATAATACAATAAAACTCTCAAACCATATCTCTACTCTATAATATATTTTATATAATGTATATCAGCACACAAATAAAGAGGTAGGAAAGACTTTTATCCACGAGTGTATTTCGTATTTTTAAGCCCATTTTTTATAAAAATTCTTTTCAAAAGTATTTGAGATCTTTTTTGTCTATTTCACCGGAATTTTTTCGGTACAACACGTAATTTCAATCGATCAGTTTACTGACCAGACTGGTTTACCATTTCGCAACCGGCTCTCGGTACTGATCCATATTATGTCGCAAAAAAATGAGTATTCGTAGAAATAAAAGCTAAAGACGATTAAAATGCTCGAAAGGGGTTTAAGAAAAGAATTAAAATCAAGAAAATCAGAAGAAAATTTTAAAAAGCAGGGGTCTCCTAGTCAAATTAGGACGTTTGGCGACCCCGCTTCAAATCTTCATAGATAAAAGGCACAAAAAGATTTTTTTGACTAATAATTACGAAAAAAATTATAAAGAGAAATACACAATCATTACAAAAAATGTGATTAATTGAAAAGAAGCTGTTCTTCATTGATACATCGATCATGTACACAATCGAGATCATGATGAATCGCAGGACTTAAGAGGAAAATTGTTGCATAAAACTGGAAGTTTCGACAGAAGTCGACCAGGTAGAGTCAAACATAAGTGAAGATAGATAAGAGTGCAAGTATTATGTATATGGTTGTGCTAACATATAATCATATGACTAACTCTCATAATCTTAACTTACTTTTTTATACGCTACATTCATTGATATCAATCATCATTGCTGATATTCTAAGTATTTTGAATTATTAGATGATCAACCCCATATTCTTCGATGAGTCAAACAACTAATAGTAATTACGCGCCACTTGTTGATCAGTTCGATTGACAAATAAAAGCATTTTGCATAAAAGTATCGATAATCATATGAGATATTAGGAAACTTTTATAATAGTTAGTCTATATTGAATAGATAATAATAAAAGAATCATGATTTTTCAGCATTTTTACCACATATATGAGTTAAAAGAACGTTCTGATCTCCAATTTATCGCCTCATTAGCTAACATTGTAATAACGAGGAGAGAGAACAATCGTTGACTATAGGTTCTTATACCTAGTTAGTTACACGTGTCTTTTTATTTATATGAAAGTAGTCGTTATACCTTTATATATTCTTTTTCATATATAATAAAAGCAATATTCACCACGTGTACAAAGGCAGTAAAACATTTTTTATCTATTCCTTTTCTTCAACTAGATATCGCTTACATTAATGTAAGGGAAACTATTTATGCATCAATGCGCACTAAAGCAAAAGAAAAATAAATGCAAGCACTTGTTGTAGTTTTATTTATTTTTTGACTTTAGCATTTTTAACCGTAAGTATATTTTCTCCGTTTTTCTTCGAATTCGAATATTCTTGAATATTGTGCAATAGTAATTGTCACTAAATTATTTCTATCTAATTTATATCAGACCCTATAGTTTTACCACGAAAAGTGTTTGCATTTCTTGAAATTTAAATTTATATAACATTATCCAATATCATTTGATCTTATGTTTATCGATGAAAGATAAAGCGAACACAAATAGTTGTATTTTCATCTAACTGAATTAATCTAATACATTTCAGATTTTATTATTAATATTTCAAAGATAATATTATGACATTTTTTATTAATAAAAGACAATTAAGAAGATGCATACAAATGGATAAAGATCGGATTGTTATGATTTAGTTCTTCTCAATACTTTTAAATTTATTTTTATTTTTTTCATTGATTTGGAAATCCACTTCTAATATCGATGATGATTTAAATTTTCAACTTGATGTTAAACAAGGTAAAATTATATATAATAATACCCGGTTGATTGACTATATCCGAAGAGAGTTTTTAATTCCTCCTTCTGACATGCATGGAAAAAAGTCAATATCAAAGATCACCCATTATTCGCAAATTGGACAAGATAAATTTTTAGATAAACTACTAGATGAAAGACGAAATGGATTTTTTATTGAAGTTGGTGCTTATGATGGTGAACATTTGTCAAACACATTATTTTTTGAAAAAGAACGAAATTGGACAGGATTATTGATTGAAGCTAATCCGACGCTTTTCAAAAAACTAAAATCTCGTGATCGTAATGCTTATGTATCTCATTCATGTATTAGTTTAATTCCATATGCAATAGAAGTTAATTTTACATTTGCTGATTATTATGGTGGAGTAATAGCACCTACTGATAAATCGGTTATAACAGGTAATGGATCAGTTCAATGTATTCCTTTCATGACTTATTTAATGGCATTAAATATTTATCATGTTGACTATTTCTCATTGGATATTGAAGGTGGTGAATTGGATGTCTTAAAACAAATAGATTTCAAGAAATTTCAAATTGATGTGTTAACAATTGAATATGCTACGAATAATTATCAGAAGACTTCTCAAAAATTGAAAGATATAACAGAATTACTAGTTGGTACAGGATTATATCGTCTAGTTAAGACTATGGGTGGATTAGATGCTATATTCATGCGAAATTCATTATAGTGAATGACAATTTCGCTATGGCATATATATGTCATGGACGAATATCTTGTTAATCTTTCATCTGTGAATCCATATTTTAAACAATAAAATTACTAAATGATGATTAACAAAATACTCACTAGCGAGTCTAATACTTCTTCAGAAGAAGTGCTGTAGATCAGTATTGTATTCATATTACACTCACATCTTAGAATAAGATAAACAAGTTCACTTGGAAAGTTTTGAAGTAATGTACTCCACATCAAGACAAATTTGTATTTAGCATTGTACAATCTTCTTTTTTTTTGTTTCATAATGAAAGGAAAAATATGAATAGAGTCAATAAGCCGTGTACATGGAGCTCAAAGTTGGGTTAGTCGACTGCTCAATGAATAGTTTCTTTGTAGGAGCCGGACTCAATTACTCGTTTTTTAGAGTGGCTTAAAATATTGATATGGGTGAAGAGAACATATTTACTCGTATCTGTAGAAATCATCCAAATCACTACTCGAAACATCTGCATGTATCTTTCAAATTTTGATTTCTATAAGTATTCAACAATCATTACAATTTCAAATATTCCTTTACCAAACAATAACAAAATATTGAATATGTAATTTAATAATCTTCTATGTTTTTTATTTATAATATGTTATACAACTAAATATTTTTATTTCGTCGAATCAATGAATGATATGCTCGATCATCAGTACCTATTGGTTTATTAGGTCTTGATTCATGAATAGTATCTTCAATCATTGTCTGATGAGAATAATTCATTTAAATCAGCTTTTTTTATACGACGTGATCCACCTTCACGAGCTTATTCTTCACTAAAACATATATGAACATAAACTCCATTTGGTTTAATTAAATATTCAAGATTTTTAATATAAATTTGATGATCATTATTTGAAAACATATGAAAAACAACTGCATCGAGAATAATATCATATGATTGTTGTGGGTGGGTGTAGGTGTGAGCGTGTTGTCTTTCGAAGCACTTGTAACTGCATTATGTATTAAGATCAAATACTAAAAACTAAATTTTCTGATGAGAACTTTTTTGTTAGAATCAGCATAGGAGTTACATAGATTAGACTTGCAATGCTCAGAGCTCATGTAAGAATATCTAATAATACATATATTCTCTAAAAGATAATGAAATGAAGTTCTGTATATTATCGTTTTAATACGATTAAAATACGCATCATGCTTACAATCATAGTTATGACATCTATGAACGGTAATATGTGTAGAGTGAAGCAAGAAAATGAATATTTTTCTGTTTACATCAAAGTTATAAAATTTTATAATATAAATGTTGAATAATTAGTTTCCTCTGCTTAGTGAAGTATATTTTTTGTTTAGCAAGATATTTTTCAATTAAATATTTTTTTTGTAATTATACACAAAATTCAGTTTTTCTTTATAATATATTACAATTAAAATTCAGATATTATCTTAGTTACGTATAAAATTGTTACAAAAAAATGAAGAATAATCATTATTCAATTGTAATAGTTCGAATTTTTGCATCCCAGGACAAAGACAATGCCATCGTAGTCCATCAGTTCGAAAATTTATAGCAATAAGGAGGGATAACATCTCTATAACTCGTGATTATCGTGAATTATAATCAAAATTAAGGGAGTAAAATGTTGTCTTCGATTGCCGGAATGATTCGCATTGGATTCGATGCTAATGAATCAGTAACAGAATACATCAAACATAAATATTTTTATTTCTGACAATTAGTTCTATTCACAACCTATATATTTTTTCTATGTCAAATGTAATTATATATTTTACGAACATTTTTATTCTAAATACTTTTTCTTTTTCAATTAAAACTTTCTTTGATTAGCTGAAGAAAATAATTATATTGTTAAGTATACTTTTTTTCCAAATTATATTTCTCTTCTATTTATATCTTTGAGTAATGGAAATTTCAGTATTTTTTCTTTAATAAAATGAAAACTGTTTAGAAACTATTGATCGTTACGAAACCTTTTTTAAAACTAAAATATGACTTTGATATGTCGTCACTACGAAATAAACTGGCACATAAATGAATGTTTTCTATAGAATTTGTTGAATTTTGAGGGGTGGATATGGTAGACGTTGAATACCCACCCACACCCTACAAAGATGACAAACATCAGTTTGGAGTTTAACATTTTAAAGTTTGATTTTTTCTGTTAAGATTTCTTTGATATAAAACAGAGAGCACTTTATTCTTCTCGGAATCATATAATAAAACAATCTCATAAGTAATCTTTTTATCAAGAAAAGAACGGAAATCAATTTGAATATTTATAAATATTTTATATTTTTAGTATTTTTTCACCAATTTTGTTCGTTTTGATTTTATGATAAAACTTGATCAACAGTCTCATAGATAATTCAAAACTTAGTTATCCTTAAAAGAAATACAGTCCAAATCTAATGAAAACTGAAAAAAATATTCATTAAATACGAAGTTAGTAATTTATTCTGCTACACTTATTCACGAGAGAATTTTCTTTATGAACAAATAACTAATTTAAAAAACAATTAACAAGATATGATTCATCTAATATTTTTTTTCTAGCATGTTCGGAAAAAATATATATCTCTAAGGAAACTGACAACTGAAAAATATTTTTTAACGTCAGTTGCACCAATCAGAATACACATTCTCCTGAAAAAAAAAGACTGACATATTTTTTTTGTCTTATTACGACGTATTTTCTGACGACACGTATTAAAAGAACAAAACATTTATGTTGTTTGATGACAGTTGGAAAAAATAAAATCTCTTCAAGCAATAACATTTGAAAACAAGAATATCTTGGGTAAGTATCGTTCTCTTAAAAAATTTTTATTCTCGTAAAAGATAAACATTATAGTTTGAGTGAATCAATAGAGCTGATACATACAGTTCATTCATTATTTACATCGAATGCTGATCCTAATCAGGACTACCAAATCCAAATTTAAAAGACCAGGAGTTTTCTGCAAAAAAGAGACTTTATTAATATAAATATCTGTTATTATCTGCTGCCAAATTAGTAGTAACTAGTGACTAGCGTGACCAATTTTTTATATCATGAGCACGATGCTCAGTGACTGTGAGTCAAGACTACTTTCTCTAGTTTTTATCGACTCGTGATTAACGGTGATGGCAGGATTGTTGACCAAAGGGAGCTGACGAGGAAAGTCCTACCAGCCCCTCCCGCTCCCTCGTCCGATATCCAAAAACCATTTCCTACACAGCACAACGCTATCTCTCTGAAACTTTCCACAAATGTTCGGCCTATAAAAGTAAACTTAAAAATTCCTTTTTAACTCTCTAAACCTCAGCATTCAAGAGTTTTTTCCAGATCAAAGTCCAAAAGGAAACCTCGGCTCGTACAAACTTTTTTCACTATACTTCAGGATATAGAAGCGATGATTGTTTTATTTGAAAGAGAACCGTTTACCCTTACGAATGAGGAGACGGGAATATTCTTGTAACTCTGTTTAATTTTGGGAATCGTCATGACCTCTAAAACTTTGGAAAACCATTATTGGTTATCCGGACAGACGACGTTTTTTAGAGGACTGATGCGTAAGTAAAAGATCTCTCATGAGATGCCTAATTCGACTTCAAATATGAATGATCAGCTTAATTCATACCATCAGTCTGAAAATAAATAGAAAAACTACACGACATTCTCCTGCTAAGGAAAGAAAGACGGAACAGAAATACTTCTAGTTATACAAAATTTCTGAGCTATACATAGAAGTTCTTGAGTTGTAGAGAAATATAATCGTAGATGGACCACACATGTAAGACTCGACAGCTGAATTCAGCTATTAAACTGTTTCATTATTCAGCTACACAACCGTTCAAGTTCGCACATACTTACGAACGAGTAAAATTATATTGGAGTCACCTAAAGGTGCGGGTGTCGTTGTGATAGGTGACCACCAAACTGAGTGTTGCTGAGGGCAAGGGAGAGTGTGGGCAAATGATTGTGTATGGGAGGGTAGGTATTTTGTTTGACGAACACCCACACCCGCCCACACGCACACCCACCCTCACCCTTCACACCCGAGAGAAAACGCTTTTGCGAATAACTCTCCTATACTTGTTTTATTAAAATTTCAGCTTATCGTCTGTTATAGTCTACCTGCAAACTTCAAATCACAATATAAAGATTCAATCAGATCAGCTCTCAACTACGCCTTGTCTTTCGCTGAACATCGGAAGGTCGATCTATTGATCGAATTAAAAGTATGTATATATTTTTCTCTTATTTTCTTCTTGCACAAATATAACTTTACCAACGGTGTGATTATTTCTCATACAATTATCTCTCACACACACCCATATCCTCGATGATTTATATTAGACTAACCAGTATATCATTGCTTTATCTGGTTTTAGTGGCAAACATTCGTAGACATCTTTCTGAATTATGGCAAAAATTAAAACTTTTCGCCCATAATTTTAATTTATTTCCATCAATTCCACCTTCAAACGATGAACATCAACTTCGAAATGAACGAATATCAACAAGATTATTCATCGTTTT